TGGCTGGCTTCTGCGAAATCTGTCCACCTCTCTGTCCCAAGGGTGGCTGATCCCCTTGTGTTACAGGATGCCCGGCAGACATCCCTGGGGCCAGATCCACATGTGACTCCTCAGGGCAGAGAAAAAGAGAGATAAACAAACAAAAAGAGCCAGACTGAGGGCTGGGCATGGTGGCACACTTCTGTAATCTCAGCACCTGGGAGGCTGAAGCAGGAGGATCACCACAAGTTTGAGACCAGTCTGGGCTACATAATGAATTCAAGGCCAGCCTGAACTACATAGGGAGGCCCTGTCTCAAAAAAAAAAAAAAAAAAAGAGCTAGAACGAGGGACACTCGCAGGGAAGAAAGGGGAGAGAAGGAAGCAGTGGTGTAGCATAGCTTGTGAGGGGAGGGTGTCTGACCCAGGTGGCACAGGTTTTGTGCAACATTATTGGCTGAAAGGAAAATTATATGATAATTTAGGGTTCTTTTGAACTACATTTGATGTTAAGCTAAGGTTTCCTACATGTGTTTGAATGCAGCCTCGTCTCCTAACCGCATGAATGCTTACACACGAATTATATTCCGTGGTTCCCATATGTGCCCGGAGCAGCATGAACTCTAGCTATGCTACTGTACTAGAAGGAAGAGACTTTAAGAAATTCCCTCAGGCTGGGAATTTAACTCAGCGGCACAGCGCCTGCCTGAAAAGCTCGAGGTCATGAGTTTGATTCCCAGTACAGGAAAAAAACAAACAAACAAAAACAAAGAAATTCCCTCAACGAAGGCCAAGCATTCGGTAGTGCACACCTATAATTCTAGCACTCAGGAGCCTGAGGCAGGCAGATTGCTGCAAGTCTGAGACCAGCCTGGCCTACATAATCAATGCTAGGCCTGCCCTAAATTACATAGCAAAACTCAATAAAACAAAAGAAAAAAGTCAAAGATTAAAACAAACAAACAAAACAAAACAAAAAGAAATTCCCTCTATAAAGTTGGGAGCTCAAAAGCAAACAACCTAAAAGTCCCTGGCCAACATTTCATTGTATCTCCCCATATCTGTGGCCAGAGGTAGGATTATGCTGACTACAGTAGGCATGAAGCCAGGTGTGGTGGCACATGCCTGTAATCCCAGGACTCTGGGAGGCTGAGACAGGAGGATTACAAGTTTGAGCCCAGCCTGGGCAACTTGATGATTTAGTGAGACCCTGCCTCAAAATGAAACAAAAATGGCTGGAGATGTAGCTCAGTCTGAAGACCCTGAATTTGATCCCCAGTACTGGAAAACAAAAACAAAAACAGAAACAAAAACCCAGGTGACAGAAACTTCCTCTAGCAGTTGGTTCCTAACCCTTAGGGCAAGCTGTATTCCCAGCTCTGGCAGAGTGGGCCGCGTACCATGAGAACCGCAGGAGAAACGGATGCTTGTATTTGACTTGAGCCACCGTATGTGGTTCTGTGGATGTGAACTTTGCTGGCCCTGGTGGAGGAGACCATGGACAGAGACTTGACTCAAATTGGACCCAGTCAGAGTCTTTTTGTTGTTATTGTTTTTTTTTTTTTTTTTTTTTTTTCTGGTACCAGGAATCAAACTCATGACCTTGCACTTGCCAGGCAGTCCCTGTGCCGCTGAGCTAAATCCCCAGCCTCCCAGTCAGAGTCTTCCAGCTGAAATTTTAAACGCTGGGGCTCAAGTACTCCTCCATATGTAACATCTCCTCGGGTGTATTTGTCTGCTGTGTGTGAAGTAGAAGAAAGCAGTCTGTTAAGAGACAGATAAATAAAATGGAAGCTGTCTTAGTTGCTTTTCTTATTGCTGAGGTAAAGTACGCGACACTTAAAACTTAAAGGAGAAGAGGTTTATTTGGGATTGACTCTATAGTCAGCTGGCTCCAAGGCAGGGAAGGGCATGCTGGGAGGGCCTGGCTGAGGAGAGCTGCCCCACTCTTGGCAGCCGAGAAGCAGAGGGAGAAGGGAGGAGCTAGGGAGGGAGACAGGCCCTTCCAGGTCACGCCCTCATGACCTGCCTCTTCTAACCGGGCTCCATCTCCTAACAGCACCCATAGCTATGGTTTTTTCAGTAGGTTAATTGATTGATGAACATGTTGCCTCCCGTGACACAATCACCTTCCAAAACCAACCTCTGAGCACATGAATCTTTTGGGGAATAGTCGGGATCCAGACCATCACAGAAGCCCTGCCGGGAAATGAAAGAGAGAGATGGACAGGGACAGGGACAGGGACAGGGACAGGGACAGGGATAGATAAGGATTAGAAGAGGGGAGGGAGAAGAAAAGAGAAAAGAGAAGAGGAAAGAGAAGAGAGATGAGATTGACTCTGCAAGAGGGAGACCATTTGGATTTCACACAGCCTCTCAGTTCTGCTTCCTGTCCTTAGTGAGACCTGGAGACCCAGGTCTGGCTTGGATGCTAAACTTCCAGTAACATCCCTTTTGCTCAAGTCAGCATAAACAGATTTTATTTTTTTGCAACCAGAGATCCTCAAATAAAAATTCAGGAGCCACTAACGGTAAGGGCTCCATCACAGACTGTGGTACAAGACATTATGAGAAGTTTGTCCCTAGCCTTGACACCTGCTAGAGGAACACGCAGAACAGGTACTTTTATCCTCTGATCCCCACGGTAAGGCGTCATGGGGGGGGGTGCATCCCTAGCCTCAAAATCTGTGATAGGACATCAGAGGAAAGGTGAACTCATCCTAAATTTAAATATAGAGCATCTTAGAAATGTCATCTTAGCCTCTTTCTGCTGTAGGAGGGCGTTTTGGAAAAGACAGTCCTGGCTCACTTTTTGTGGAAGGCATCATCAGAGATGCAGCCAGCCTTTCCTTCCTTCCCTCCCCTCTTTCCTCATCATCTGCCCCGTATCAGGTACATTCCAGGTACTAAGAATACAGTAATGAGTAAAGAAAAGGTTTGCCCTCTATGGCCATGGTAATAGGAAGAGGTAGCAAACAAACAAACAAACAAACAAACATGACTATTCCAGTTATCTATTGTTGCATAACAGAACACCTCAAAACTTAGGGGTATAAAACTGTGGTTTTATACCTTTGTGTCTTGTGATTGTATGGGTCAGGAATTTGGACAGGACCGCTATGTGTCTGCCTCACAATGGACCGGTGCCCAAATGAGCTGGCTCAGACTGCTTATCCAGGGCCATCTCCTTGAGGCCTTGGTCCTGGCTATTGCTTAGTGGTGTGGGTGTTGTACTCCCCCCTAAAAAATATGTTCAAGTCCTATGCCCCAGTATCTAAGCATGTGATTTCATCTGGAAATAGAATCCATGCAAATGTGACTACGGTGATGATGAAATTCATATATATTGGATTCATTATGCTGAATGTCCTTAGAGTGAGTTGGGGACATACAACCACTTTCAAAGACAGCGGTGGAGATGCAGTGACACAGCCACAAGCCAGGGAATGCCAAGAAGTGCCAGCAACCATTAGACATCAGGAAGAGATGAGGAAAGCATTGTCCTTAAAGGCCTTAGAGGGAGCACAGCTCTGCCAATACCTTGGCGCTGGATGCCTAACATCCAGGATTGTGAGAGAGTAAGATTCTGATGGGTTTTTGTTTGTTTGTTCATTTCTTTGGTTTTTTTTTTTTTTTTTTTTTTTGAGACAGGGTCTCACTATGCAGTTCAGGCTGGTCTTGAACTCACTTTATAGCCCAGGCTGGTCTTGAAGTGCAGGCGATCCTCCTGCCTCAGCCTCCTGAGTGCTGGGATTACAGGCATGTGTCACCATGTCTAGCTAAGATTCTGATATTTTAAGCCATCTAATTGCTAATTGTGTAGCAGTTTATTACAGGAAGCCTCAGGCACTAATATGGCTGGATTTTTTCTGGTCCTCCGTGTGTGTGTGTGTGCATGTGTGCATGCACACACATACATACACACACACACACACACACACACACACACACACACAAAGCCCTGGAGGACTGCACCCAGGGCCTTTGCACTGAATTACATCCCCAGCCCTTTTTTACTTGAGACAAGGTCTTACTAAATTCCTAGTCTGGGCTTGCACTTGTGATCCTCCTGTCTCAGCCTCCCAGAGTGCTGGGATTCCAGGCATGCACTATTATGTCCTGGCTTCTTTTCTGGGTTCTATCTGCTGGGGCAGCATGGTCGTGGTGGCTCCTTCATCCACTTATCTGGTGCCTGGGCTAACATGGCTGGCACCAATGGGCTTTTGCTCCATGTGGCTTCTGCACCTGAGAAGCTTGGGCTTCCTCACAGCATGGCAGGAGTGGAAGAATGAGTTTTTAAAGTCTAGTTCCAGCACATGGCTCGGCTTACCTTCCACCATAATCTATGGGTCAAAGCAGTCACAGGGTCATTCACACTCAAGAACTGAAGATATAGACTTCACATCTTTAAGCTACCACAATGACAAGTGATGATAGATGACTGGGGGAAGTTAAAAAAAAGCCCTGTCCTTCACCTGCCCCGATATTTTTTTCTTCCTTAGTCATAAAGCCTCGTGGGTAATATAATTTGGTCTCCATGAGTCGCCTCAATGAACCATGACAAACATAAATTCTTCATTACTGTGCTCCAGGAATACCACCGAGTTGAGAGTCTGGGCTTCTTCTCCATAGGTCCTAAAGCATCCTGGGAACTATACCCTAGAGCATCACGGGAAATGTAGTCCTATCCTTATTCCTCACAGGAGGATCACTGTGAGTTCTGGCTACTAGGTTATCTTCTCTCCATCTCCTGTCCCAGAGCACCCTTGGAAATGGGGATGTCCTATCCCCCCAGAACAACAAAGTAGTCTTTTTTTTGTTTGTTTGTTTTTCTGGTACCGGAAATCGAACTCACAACCTTGCGCTTGCCAGGCAGGAGCTGTGCCACTGAGCTAAATCCCCAGCCCCAATAAAGTAGTCTTAACCTTTGAAACTGAGGAGAAGAGACCATGGGATGACTTGTCCTCGGGTGGGTGAATTAGAAGTTTGTATGTGGAGGCCAGCAATAAAGGTAGAGGCAGCTTAGGGTGAAGTTCACTAGTACAAAAAGTTTTATTTACATATAAAATAAATAATGTGAATATTAATAATAACAATAACGGGAGCGGCAACAATATTAATAAAACCAAAAGCTTTCTTGCTGGCCTGCAGCCTTTCTCCAGTACTGCTCCTTCTGCTCTCACATCAAGGTCTCATAGCGGGGGAATGGCGGCCCAGCGAGGATATCACACTGGCACAAGTCTGCAGGAACAGGAGGCGAGGACAGGGCACAGGGGCCCCCTGGGTCCAGCCAGGCGGAGGGCTTGGGGTTCAGGTCCAGAGGAGAACGCCTCCCCACAGTCTCACGGTCACAAGCAGAGTGCTGGCAAGGCTGAGAGCGCCAGGGCCAGGCCGGGGCGCGCCCCCACTGCGGTACTGGACGTCTCTGGCTGGGTGGTTACAGCCAGTGCCCTCACAGCACGAGACATTGAGAGGGGTCAGGCCGAAGGTGTCGGCCACGTGGGAGTCTCGGCACCAGGAAGCAGTTGCACAGCCTCTCACTGTGAAGGTCTGGTTCTCCAGCCCTGAGGAGGAAGAAGACGACTGCGTGAGACCCCGGGTTCTGGGGCCTGGGATTCTCTGGTGGGTGACGTAGCACTGCACGATGGGTCTCACCTCCCCACCTCCACTGCTACCTAGAGAAAGCAGCAGTTCTCAAAGGGTCATGAAGGGACCCCGTGTGTGTGTGTGTATGTGTGTGTGTGTGTCTTCAGACTCCTTCCAGGAATCTGTGACGTCATAATGATTCTCAGAAAAATGCTACAACAGAATCTGGCTTTTCCATGCTCACAAATCTACAAGGGAGGTTTCCCAGGAGCTCCAGGACATGTGATACTGCGATTGACTGAACACCGAAATAGAGATGAGGATCCAGTTGTCTTCTGCTCAGCCAGACATTAAGGAGGTTTGCAACCCAGTCAAACATTGCCAGTCTTCCTATTACTTTTTTTTAAAAAATATAACCATGTGTCACTTAATGTCATTTGTGGTTGAGGGTGGTAGTGCACACCTGTAATCCCAGCACTCAGGAGGCTGAGGCAGGAGGATCACTGTGAACTTGAGGCCACCCTGGGCTACATGAACGAATTCAAGGCCAGCCTGAAGTACACTAAAAAAACAAAAAATGTCATTTGTAGGCTGGGACCCCAGCTAAATGGTAGAGTGCTTGCCTAGCATGCATGAGGCCCTGGGTCCAGCACTATATACACACAAGAGTTATTCATGTTATTGTGCAATGAATTTTTATTGTTATTTTAATAAATAAATATCAATTACAAATTTAATTTATAAATAAATCTTAAAATTCTTTCTCAGTTTTAATTTCTATTGCGGTACATATTTATAGTCATAACTGACACGAATGACAACTTTTGAGATGTGAAAGGAGTCTTTTTTATTTGTTATATTTTTTGGCAGTACTGGGGATTTTGGCAGTACTAGGGCCTTTGCACTGAGCTACCTCTTCACTTCTTTTTTTTTTTTTTTTTTTTTATTCTGAGACAGGTTCTGCTAAGTTGCTAAGCTGCCCGTGCTGGGCTCCAACTTGTGATCCTCCTGCCTCAGCCTCTCCAAGTGCTGGGATTACAGGTGTGTGCCAGCATGCTTGGCATAAAGAAATCTTGAGACCAAAATGTCTGAGAACCCTGGAATCAAGGCACTCCAAGATGAAAGCCCTGGATGTCCACGGGAAGCCTCACTTACAGGAAACCTCACCCCTAAAGGAGTCCACACCTCTGGGGCATAAACGTCCCGCTACTATAGTTTGCACCCTCCTGAAGGAAGTTCCAGCTTTCCTCTAAGAAAAACCATCTCAGTTGAAGTCCAGCTTATCTGGAATCAACCAGCTGCAGAGCCCCATCACTCTCAGAAAGTGTTCCCTGTCAGCCTCTGGAAAGTGCTCACCTTTAGTACCCGTGGCGTGGAGACACTGAATCATGGGGCCTCGGCAGTCGATCAGGGAGCTCTCGCTGGAGGAGCACCCGTGGGTACTGTTCCCCTGGCAGCTGTAACACTGGATGCCGTTCGGTGGCAGGTTTTGGAGCTCTATGACTTTGAAGACAAGAGACAGAGAAATTAGCGCTCGGGTCTCTGAGGCTCATTCCCTTCCCTGGATTCCCGGATCTCAGCCCCAGACATCACAGAGCCATCTTGTGGCCAGGCGTTTGAACAGCACTTTCTTGGGCTCTGGGTAAGCAACTGTGTGCCTCAAAGAGTCTTGCCCTGTCAGAACTTGGAGTTTAGTGCGACACTGTCCAGTATGGCAGTCATGGGCCACATATACTTGTACAAATTTAATTTCCATTAAATATAATTTTAAAATTCAGTTCACTTGTTTTGGTCCTGGGGATTGAACCCAGGGCCTCTGCACTGAGCTACCTCCCTAGCCTTATTTAGTTTTTTTCATTTTGAGACAGGATCTTGCTAAGTCATTAGGTTGCCTAGGCTGGGCCAGAACTTGAGATCCTACTGCCTCAGCCTCCTAGAGTGCTGAGATTACGGGCATGTGCCACCACACTCAGTTTCAGGTTGACTTTCTTTTTTCTCCGGTACCAGGAACCGAACTCACGACCTTGCACTTGCCAGGCAGGCGCTTTGCCGCTGAGCTAAATCCCCAGCCCTAGGTTGACTTTCAAGTGCTCCATAGCCATGCACAGTAATGGCTACCACAGGGCTGGGGATTTAGCTCAGTGGCACGGGGCCTGCCTGGCAAGCATGAGGTCATGAGTTCGATTCCTGGTACCAAAAAAAAAAAACAACAAAACTTAGTAATGGCTACCACACTGGACACACCAGTATAGGACCTTTCCTGAAAGGTCCTGTGGACAGAATAACAGGAGAGGGCTGCATCACACCAGGGGAGAGGACACTGCAGGTTTTGCTGAGGATGAGACATAAGGCTGAGACACAGTGGGGGACAAGTGGCGGGGCGAGTGGGCTCTAGGGAGAGATGGGCTCCAGGTGGAGAGTAGTGTGCATACCACGAGGCAGGATGGAGTTTAGGTCACAGCAAGACCTCTGTTTGTGTTTTTTTTCTTTCTTTCTTTCTTTCTTTCTTTCTTTTCTTTTCTTTTCTTGTTTTGGTACTGGGAATCGAACTCACGACCTCCTGCTTGCCAAGCAGGTGCTTGTACCACTCAGCTATCTCCCCGGAGACCATTGGATTTCATTCAAAGAGGAGCGGGAAGTCGTTGCCATGCTTGATAAAGGGCAGCGACACGGTGAGATTGGTATTTTTAAAAATCGGGGCCGGAGGTGTGGCTCCGCAGTAGAACACCTGGCCTAGCATGCAAGAGACCTTGGTTTTCACCCGAACCATTGCAAACCCCACCCCCCACCCATCACTCCTGCTGAGGGTTGGGCTCCGGTGGGGGGTGGGGCGGGGAGACCAGTGAGGAGGCCGTCATGGCACGCTGGGCCCAGGCGGTGGCGGTAGAGGGCACGAGTGCGGGAAGGATCTCGGAGAGACCTGGCCGACCCGAAGCACCGGTCCTGGAGAGGGCTGGGTGGGCTCCTGACTTCCCGCGCAGCCCCCTTTGGGACAGGCTAGCTGTGCGCTCTTTTCGGAGGGGACACTCCGAGAGGGGCGGGCTGCCTGGGAGTGGCAGGTGGCAGCGCCACACGGGCTGGCCCGAGCGCGCCTCCCGCCCGCTCCCCGGGCCTCACCCGCTTACCTGGGCCCCTGTTGCAGTTGGTGGTGTTGCAGCACTGCAGGTAGTGGAAGCTGTGGTTGCTGTGGAAGCCGGTGGGGCCCGGGCAGCCGGGAAGGAAGCCGCAGCCGCGAGTGTGTCTCTCGTCCTTCATGGTCACTGTGGGCCAGAGGAGGGAGTCAGGGTCAGATCACCGATGCGGGGCTGAGGCTGGGCTCAGCCGTTCTCTGCTTCGTCCTCCATCCCAGCACCCCCATTTTATTTAAGGTAGCTCTATTATCTAGCCAAAGAGTTACATTTTCCAGCCTCTCTGCGTAGTCACGTGATGAATTTGTAGCCAACATGATATAAATGGAAATGTTTTATGGGACTTCCAGGACCTAGAATTCTTACAAAGGAGGGTTCCTCTTTTCCATGCCTTTCTTGCCCCCTCATTCCTTCCTGGAAACTGGTCATGAGGCCTGGCACTCCGGCAGCTATCCTGGTCCACGAGGTAGTCAAGAATGGAAGTGAAATGTCAGACATGAGGCAGCATCTGGGCCGGTGGTGACTCTGGAACTGTCCTAGTGGCTCTGGATCTTGTGTGTGAGCGAATTAAAGCCCTTGTTTGAATACCTGTTATCTGGGGCACTCTGTTAAATGGAGCCCTGGGCAGGAGCATAGCAGAGGAGCTGCTGGCAGATTGGGACTCACCTTCCAGTTTGTCATGGGTCACCACCTCCACGCACTGCTCTCTGGGGTGGCGACACTGCAGGCTCTGATCCCGGCCCCTCTCACAGCTCATGTCTAACGAGCTGCAGGAAACACACTCGAGGTATCGGCCCAGGGTGAAGGTGCGCGGCTGGCCTGGCGGGAAGAAGCGGTGGGGTGTGGCTTGATGGGGTGAGTCCCGGAGCCCCAGGACCTTTGAGGTCTCACCTCAGCAGCCACTCCTCTTCAGGCTACCTTTCAGCTGAGTCTGTCTAGAATCCATCCCATCCTCTCCTGCCCTGCAGTCCCCTCCAGTTCACGTCTCCTTCAAGACGGGTGACCAGCAGCCAGGCCTCACATCCTTCCTCTCTCCCTAACTCCTACACATTCTTCAGATGCCAACTCTGATGTCACCTCCTCTAGGAAGCACTCCCTGACTCACTGGGCTGGAGCAGGTGCCCCTTTAAACTCTTACAACCCCCAAGCCATCCCAGAACTGCCCACCCTAGATCATCAGCATGTGGCAATAGGTCTACCTCCCTCTCTAGGCTCTGAGCCCCAGGAAGGAAGGGGCAAGCCTGACTTTTTTATTTTTGGGTTTTTTTTTTTTTTTTTTTTTTGAGGCAGGGTGTCGCTACACAGTTCAGGCTGGCCTTGAACTCACAGTGATCCTCCTGCCTCAGCCTCCTGAGTGCTGGGATTACAGGAGTGTGCCACTACAACCGGCTTCTAAACCTGTCTTGGTCACTACTTGATCCCAGCATCACCCAGAACAGGCACAGGATCAGAAAAGATATTCAGTCAATGCTGTGCTTGTTAATGATTGAAAGAATGAACAATGCTTTAAGACCCTACTATTGTTCCCTGAGGTTGGAGTCTGCACAAGGCTTCCCGTGGGTTCTGCTTGCTCATAGCCACATCCTTGTGCAGTCTTTTCCTTTAAGAGTAGGGCAAACCCATATAACCAGTAGGAAATCGTGGAAATGATGGCCTGGAACCTGGGTACGAGGCCTGGAGCTCTGGCAGCCATTTGTGCCTCCTTTTCCTCCTCTTCCTCCTTTCAGCAGCACTGGGGGGCCTTCACAGTGCAATGCATCCCCAGTCTTTTTCTATTTTGAGACAGGATCTTGTTAAATCACTCACTTGCCCAGACTGCGTTCAAACTTGCAATCCTCCTGTCTCGGTTTCGTAGAATACTCGGATTACACGCATGTGCTACCATGCCTGGCCCATATTGCGCCTTCTGTGGCTAAGCCATAAAAGCTATTGCAACTTCTGCATCTTCCTGTGCATCTGTCTGTTCGTCAGTCTGTCTGTGTGTTTGTGTTTCTCTTATTTGGTCTGCCAGATGCCAGCTACTATACTGTAAGGACACTGAAGCAGCACGCAGAGAGGTCTGTATGGTGAGAACAAGGTCCGCCAAAGTCACGGGAGGGGTTTATCCACCGGAAGAGGAGTGACCTCCAGGACCTCCTTTGGATACCTGCAGCCTGGGCTGACGTCCTGATTCCAATGTCACAAAAGACCCCGAGTCACAGCAACTCAGCTGAGCAGCCCCAACATTTGTGACCTCCAGCTCCCATGTGAAACAGCACGTGCTCGCTGTCTGAAGTCTAGGGCAATCCATACTGCACCACGGACATCTCCCCATGCCCTAACTGCCCAGAGATCAAAGCCTCCCCCAGAGATCCCTGATAACTCTGCCTTTTGCACCAACATCCCGGTCCAGGCCAACTGGATCGGTGACTTTTCCCTGGAAATCCTGGGTCATTCCTCTGCCCTGGCCTTGGCACACGCTGGTTCCCAGCCTGGCATTCATCTCCCCTTCCTGACCCAAGACAGCCAGGCAGATCTGGGCCAAGGCCGAAGCAAGGGAGAGGACTGTCTGAGCCAAGGCTCCGGACTGGCAAGCTCGCTGTAATTAAGGGAATCACTTCCACCCAAAGCCAAATTGACTTCCTCAAAGAACAATACCTAAAAGGCCAAAAAACCCACATCTTCTCACATGCGCTTCCATGAAAGCGAAAGTGCAAATTTTCATCCTGGCCACTCACGGGTTCTCAGTCTGCTTTGCAAACTCTTCCCCTTAAGCACTTCTTTTTCTTTTTCAGTACTGGAGATGAAACCCAGGGCCTTCCCACTGAGCTACATCTGCAGCCCCTCTTTATTTTCTATTTTGAGATAGGGTATCACTAAATCACTAAGTTGCCCAGGCTAGGGTCAAACTTGTGATCCTCCTGTTTCATCTTCCCAGAGTGCTGGGATTATGGGTATGGTCCCTTTTCTAACTGCACATAATTTTCAGGCCTCTGTCTTCAGGCTTTTTCTTTTCTCATACTGTAGAATCTCCCACAGGCACGTTATCTGGTAAACAGCTTCATTTCTGTCTATCTGGTGCTCACTCACAAACCTCCGGTCTCAAACGTCGAACCTGAACTCCCGAGCTATACACACAACTGCTCCTGGATGCCCCCAGCGATGCCCCCAAACATCTGAGTCTCTACCTATAGTGCTATGGCTTGGATGTGGCTTATCTGGAGAGTTCATGTGTTGGAAGCTTAGGTGTCAGTGTGGTAATAGAAGAGGTGCTGGGACCTTTAAGAGGTGGAGCCTATTGGGCTGGGCTAGGTCACGTGGGGCACTGCTCTCCAAAGGAATTATTCTCAGGGACCCCCAGTGAGTTCCCAAGAGAGAGAAACTGGTGCCTCCTTAAACCCTACCCTCCACCCCCTGGGGCAGAAACCTGGCTGAGCCTTCAATCCCCTACTTCTGTGCCTCAGTCTAGATATTTCTACCATCCTGTTGTTCTCTGATTTCTCTTTCTGTCATACAATGCTGTCATGATGCCATCAGCCTTTTACTAGAAGCAGCCATACTGTATGGAATTTCTGCAGCTGAAACTGTAAGCTACATAAACCTCTTTTCTTTCCAAAGTGCCTAACCTCAGGCATTTCATTACAGTAACAGAAAACTGACTGATCCATGCCCCAAACTGAACTCTCCATCTTCTCCCCAGGCCTTCTCCTTCTGCAGAAGTCCACAGGTCTGGGACGGTTGCATCAACCCCCCACCCCCTGGGGCAGAAACCTGGCTGAGCCTTCAATCCCCTACTTCTGTGCCTCAGTCTAGATATTTCTATCATCCTGTCCCTCAACTTTCAATCCTATTGCTCTGCTGTTTCTAATCTCTATTAAGCTCACCTAGTGAGCTCTTCTCTGAGTTCTTCACTTCAGTCACTGTTTTATATTTTCTCTTTGACTCTAAAAAAATGAGTTCTGGATGCTCAAACTTATCCTCTCCTCTGTGTTATTGAAACAACTGATCACTGTAAGCGTTCCTCATTAATGACTCCAATGTTGGAATCACTGTCAAAAATCACTGTTTTTGTTGTTCAATCTTTTCCTTAGTTTCTAGTCAATTTTTTCTTTTAAATTTTTTTCTTCAGGACACCATATACATCTTTTTTTGTTTGTTTGTTTGTTTGTTTTCTGATACCGGGAATCGAACTCATGACCTCGCGCATGCCAGGCAGGTGTTGTGCCGTTGAGCTAAATCCCCAGCCCCACCATATACATCTTCACTAGATGCCAGACATCATAGGTGAAAAACATAACGCCTCTAAAGGATAATATCTTCTTCCAAAGATGGTTAGGCTTTCTTCCCAGCAAGAACAGCATGGCATGGGGACTTTTGAGGGCCGGTCCCTCTCGGTCTTGCCCTTACCCCAGGGTGAAGCCTCAGTGCAATGCCTGGGCAGTTACCCAGGTCCCTCCAGCTTGGTCCCTCCGTGTTCCCTGCGTCACGGGGCTGCTGGGAGCCTGGCTCTGTTCTGAAGCCTCCCAGTGACTATTTTCTGCCGTGTTTCTTGGAGTCTCACCATACGTACACACAGCTTGCCAGTGACTCGAGGGAAATTCGCCTGCAGGTCTGGGGACTCCCTTTCCTGTGGTCCCATCTATTCCAGGATCCTCCCGCTCATTTTCCAGACGCTCTGGCAGCCCCCGGCTCCAACCTGTCTTCTCAGTCTAGCGACTTCCTCTCCACGAGGGTTCTGTTTCCCCTTCACAGGAGCGAATTGGAAAGCACACTCGAGGAAAGCAGGTTGCCTGTGAAACTACTTCTGCGCTTCCTTATTTCAGATACTGTAGTACTGCAGGTTCCACCCTCCGTTTGTTGCTCTCTGATGACCCCGAATAACTGTCATTGTCCAGTCTGCGGCCTCCCCACAAGCCACCATCACGATGGCCTGAGAGCGCCCCCTCTGGTCACTTCTGTCCTCCTGCCTGGCCAACGCCCTCCTCCTGCCACTCTTATCGGCCTCCAGGCTGGTTTCCCTCATCTACTTTCGCCTCCTTCCAATCTGTCTTCAGTCCTAAGGGCTGAAGAATTCGCTAAAAATATAAATGTGATCATGACACCCCCTGCTTGTGACCTTCACCCCCAGCTGCTTCCAGGACGCAGTCCTTATTCCGCGTCTCAGACTAGAAAGGACCCTGCCAGGTTCACCAGCTCACTGCCTTCCTCCCTCTCTGCGCCTCGGACCCTGCAGCGCCCTCTGCTGTCACACCCTCCCCACTGGCTTGTCCCCAGGCTCTTCCTACTGACGATCCCTCAGCTTCCTCTAGGAGCCCTGACTTCCCCGAGTGGAGTCAGGCAGCCCTGCTGGGATCCCACAGCCCTGACTTCCCTCTTCCCACCCCTGAGCCTCTGCCTGCACCTCCCCATTCTGTCCCTGACTGATCTGACCCATCACTGTCTGTGTCGGTCTGTTGATGGCTCTGTCACCTCCCTCCCAAAGACACACACTGGATTGCAAGTCCCACGGAGGTAGGGCCCAAGGTTGCCTTGTTCACTGCTGGGTCCCTAACATCAGGTAAGTCCAGGATGCGGTTTAGTCAGCTACTCCAAGCTGCCACAGCAGGTTAAGATGGCAGTAGAAATGGGGATAAAAGGCCAGGTGTGGGAGCACTGGCCTGATATCCTAGCACCCTGGGAGGCTGAGGTAGCAAGACTACAAGTTCAAGCCCAGCCTGGGCAATTTAGCAATGTAGTAAGAACCTGTTTCAAAAACAAGGGCTGGGGATATAGCTCCGTGCAAAGGCCCTGAGTTCAATCCCTAATACATCTTACACACACAAAGAAAGAAAGAAAGAAAGAAAGAGTTATTGGATGGCTGAATTGGCAGCTGCTGCCCAAGCTCCTTGTGATCCCAGACCACTCCCAAGTCTCGATAGAAGGCTCATGTCCCTGAACTTCAGTCGGAGGGGTGGCATCAAGCCCAGCAAGGGACATCCTGCGCTCTGTTCCAGCTCTGACCACTACCTTGACTGTCATTTCTGACTGGATACATGTCTACCAGAGACAGGAAGCTGGTGTCCTCTCTCATCACTTCCTGCAAAATGAACATCACAGTGAGCCCTGCCACCGGGTAAAAGTTTGTGCTTAGGGATGGATGAAAATCAGGCCAGGTCAGGATAAAGGAGGAAGGAAAACCCAGTGCAAACGCAGGTGCTCTGCTTGCAGACGTCACGGTGACTGCAGGGGCCTTAATCAGTTTCCTTCCTCACAGGGCCAGAAAGAGGAATCTCTGCTGACGGTGCCTGGGGCCCTTCCTTCCCCATTCTGATCTCTCCCATGAGAACTGACTGAAAAGGAGAGTGTGGTTTTATTTCATGTTTTCAGTTGACCAGCACCGAAAGGGATTAAGGAAGTTCTTGACTTTTTTTTCTCCCATTGTTCAAGTCTGACATCATGTAGTCCAGGCAACCTTCCCAACCTGTGTTCATCTCTTATTTTTTTTCACTTTTAATTTGGATATGGGGTTTTCTATTTTCCCCAGGCTGGTCTGGAACCCCAAAATGGAAGGGACCCTTCTGCCCGAGACTTGCGAGTAGCTGGGACTATAGGTGTGTACCACCATGCCCCATTCCTCTCTTCTTTTGATTTTCCTTAAGAACTGTGAGTCTCGGGGCTGGGGATTTAGCTCAGCGGCAAAAGCGCCTGCCTGGCAAGTGCAAGGTCGTGAGT